ACTGTTCTGCTCGGCTGAATTTGTCAGAGGTGTAGAGAGCGAGATTATATTCCTTTCAGCTCTAAATATTTTTCTCTCCGTCACTGCATTTCTGGGGAACACTCTGATCCTAGTTGCTCTATACAAGGAAACTTCACTTCATCCACCGTCCAAACTCCTGTATCGTAACCTAGCGATAACTGATCTCTGTGTTGGTATCATTGTGGAGCCCTTAGTTGTGACTTATTGGACTTCTGTTGTGAACGAAAGATGGGATATTTGCTATTACGCAGATTGGGCAGCAAGTTTCTCAGGTTTAACTTTGTGTGCAGTGTCTTTATTAACATTGACTGCAATAAGCGTGGACAGACTTCTCGCCTTGTTGCTGGGGCTCAGATACAGACAAGTTGTAACTTATAGACGAACATGTATAACTGTGACATCTACTCTCTTTTTGAATCGTCGTATAACTTCATGGTTTCAATACATAGTTACAGCTTTGTGTCTGGTCACCACAATCTTCGCTTACGCAAAAATTTTCGTTACTCTGTGTCATAACCAAATTCATGTTCAGAACCATGTTGCTCAAGGACAACCGAGCCAAGCAATTCCATTGAACATAGCTCGATACAGAAAGGCATTGTACAGTACACTGTGGGTGCAAGGAACATTGGGTATTTGTTATCTTCAATTTTATATAGTGCTCGTTTTGACACCTCGGAGAGGGATGCATTTATCGATCTACCTTGCCAGGAATTTCACAGTTAGCATGGTTCTCTTAAACTCGTCATTAAACCCCTTGTTGTACTGTTGGAAGATCAGAGAAGTAAGGCAAGCTGTAAAAGAAACATTAACGCAACTCTGCTGTTGATCGAGTTAGATTTCTGGGCTTTCCAGCTCTCTCTTCTCAGCTCTTAATTCATGCTTCAATCCTCGTTGATATTAACTGTAAATATTTTGTACTACATGCAAGCATATTTTATGAAGGCATGTCACCTGTTTTTTAGGGGCAAGTATATTATAAATATTCCTTGTCTAGAAATCCAAAGATGTTATCTTTATTATTTAGTCGCATGAAGCGTAAACAAGTAATAAAGAAATAGAGTTGAAGGGCTTCATTCCTTTTCTTCTTCTTCTCCTCCTCTTCCTCCTCCTCCTCCTCCTTATGGAACTTGAATAAGTTGTTACTCTATAGAAAGCCTGTCAAACCATTTAAACCATTTAAAAGTAGTACATGACCTTATCTTAATGAGATTTCCCCGCATTTTATTCATGAGATAAAGACAAAAGGCTATTTGTCTTCAAAAGTTGCAAGCTGTGGTTATAACCTTCTTATTATTTTCTCGAAGAATACATCGGATAGTAAAACTGACTTTAACGGCATTTACTAATTTCTCTGAGTTGTACTGGAAATGTGCGTGCGTGAGCCGGAGAGGGCTATCTTTAAAACAAGGAACGGGGAATGGGAATGGGGAACGGGGAACGGGGAACGGGGAATCTTTAAAATGGGGAATCTTTAAAAGCGGGAATCTTTAAAACGGGGAATCTTTAAAAGCGGGAATCTTTAAAATGGGGAATCTTTAAAAGCGGGAATCTTTAAAACGAGGAATCTTTAAAAGCTGGAATCTTTGAAATGGGGAACATAGCTCGATACAGAGAGGCAGTGTACAGTGCACTGTGGGTGCAGGGAACTTTGGATATTTGTTATCTTCCATATAGTATAGCGGTCGTTTTGACACCTCAGAGAGGGATGCCTTTATCGATGTACCTTGCCAGGAATTTCACAGTTAGCATGGTTCTCTTAAACTCGTCGTTAAACCCCTTGTTGCTTGTTGTACTGTTGGAAGGTCAGAGAAATAAGACAAGCTGTAAAAGAAACATTAAGGCAACTCTGCTGTTGATCGAGTTAGTTTTCTGGGCTTTCCAGCTCTCTGTTGTCAGCTATTAATTCATGCTTGAATCCTCGTTGATATTAACTGTAAATATATTGTACTGCAAGGATATTTTATGAAGGCATGTCACCTGTTTTTTATGGCAAAGTATATTATAAATATTCCTGATCTAGAAATCCAAAGATGTTATTTTTATTATTTAGTAGCATGAAGTGTAAACAACACTCAAGAATAAAGAACTAATAAAGAAATAGAGTTAAAGGGCTTCATTCCTTTTCTTCTTCTTCTTGTTCTTCTTGTTCTTCTTCTTGTTCTTGTTCTTCTTCTTTTTCTTCTTCTTTTTCTTCTTCTTCTTCTGCTTCTGCTGCTGCTGCTGCTGCTGCCGCTGCCGCTGCTGCTGCCGCTGCTTCTTCTTCTTCTTCTTCTTCTTCTTCTTCTTCTTCTGCTTCTCCTCCTCCTCCTCCTCTTCCTCCTCCTTATGGAACTTGAATAACTTGTTACTCGATACAAAGCCTGTCAAACCAGTTGCACCACTTAAAAGTGGTACATGACCTTATCTTAATGAGATTCCCCCGCATTTTTATTCATGAGATAAAGACAAAAGGCTATATATGACGTCATCAGCGTTAATGTTTTCAATAATGAGATTTCATTTCCAAAAAACTGAAACTCTTAATTTCATCCCTACTAAATTTTTATCACTTCTTTCTTGGTGTAAACTCAGAATAAGTAACATTAGCATGCAAATGAAAGATATTAAAAGCGCATCGACGTTTAAAGCCAGCACTTTCGGAGCATTCAACATATTAACATAAGTAAAATTGCCTCTCTGATACTGGTAAAAGCATCTCTTTAATGATTAACACATCCTACGGGTTGCCCTCCCCAGAGCCCCGCGAGGGTATTAGATTGCTTGGTACCCAGGCTCATTAGTCCGCGGGGCCAACGTAAACGAAACGCATAGTAAGAAGGCCTGGGACGTAAGCAATTCAAGTTCTGCTGTACACGTATTTGTTGTGTATAAGATGTGGCAAGACAGTTGTTTTATAAACTGCTGTGTGGGTATTAATTACACAAGAGCATTTTTCATTTTGCCAAATAAAACAGGTCACAAAAGAAAAGTTGTAGCATGTGTCAGAGGGCATTCGTTTTTGTTTTACGAAAAAATGTTTCCTTTTGGCGTAAAAGAAAATCCACACGACCACATTTAAATGTTTTGAAAAAAAAGTTCTACCATCGTACTATGTAATATACCCGATAAACTTAGCTTTATTATTTATTTAGGGGTACAAGAACTTTATCGGTGAGTACTAACTGTTACTGAATAATGGAAGGCAAACGGCCGCGAAGTAAAGCCGGATCTTGGTTTTAGATCAGGATCGGTAATGAGAATAAAACCTAAAAGTAAATGCAAGCTGGCAGCTAAAAGACAGGGTATTATTTAATTGCCCGATATTTTGGTTAGACATTACTATCCTTCGTCTGGGGCTGCAAAAAGCAATAATAAATTGTTGTAAATAAGCGGTTGAAAAAAAAAAAAACAACGAACAGTCGATATTTCGCTTGCTCTGTGAGTTGTTGGCAGGAAAAAAAAGAAAATCTACAGTACGAATAACAATAATCTGTGTGTCGAGAATTTATTTACTGGGCTAAAACGCATATTAACATAAAAAGCGCGCAGTCAGCGGGTGTTTAAAATGGTTAGGGTCGCTTTGTTAAAAGAAGACAAATTGAGGTGATAATACAAATTAGTAGAAAAATATTGTTGCTATAGTGAATATCTATATTTTATACCCAAGCATTAATGATGGTTATGGGGTTTCGTTCACTTCAACGTAACGTGTTCATATTGCTATTTTGCTTTAGTAACGGATGAGCTGTTGGCAGGAAATCTAGGGAAAAGAAAATTAAAAATACGAATAACAAGAATCTATATGTGTCGTGAATTTTTATATACAGGGCTATAAAACATATATTAACATAAAAAGCAGTCAGGTGTTTAAAATAATTAGGGACCGTGCTCGTTTAAAAAAAGACATGAGCTATAATCAAAACTATTCTAAAGAACATTTTTCTTAGTTGCAAGTTATAATGGATATCTTTATTTTATACCTAATTATTATTGATAGTTATGGGGCTCACTCAATCGAAACCTATCTCAACCGACCCAAAAATTATAAACAAACCCATTTGGTCTGTTTGGACTGTTAAGACTTCCTTTCTACAAGAAAACTCTTTGCAAACGTCTGTCAAAGCTGGCCGCGCACGAATTAGCAATTTAATTGGTTAATAATTAAAGGCCCTTTCCAAGTTTCTTTTTCCAGCCATCTGAATTCGGTTAATAACTCACATGTATTACGCTCTGCTAGGAAAACTTCTGATGACTCAAGCATGTATGCAGCTTGTGTTGAATTGGCCGAATTACTGGAACTTACAGCGATGTTAATGAAGAAAACGTTATGCAGACTTGTCTCACCGACAGCATATTAAGATCTAAAAAGTTATTAAAATGGTCCGTAAGTCAGCTTCACCTGGCTCATTATAGTTCGACTAATGTTTGTTTGAAAAACTAGACAACTTTGCTGTATCCTTTTTCCTCGTGTGGTACGACTAAAAACAAAATTTTTTTTTTCCTCAAAGTCTTGTAGAAAAAGTTGATAAAAATTAAAACAAGGAGAATTGACAAAGGTCATTATTGCACATCAGTACATCCATAACAGACACCAAAATTACCGCATCCCACACAGTTTGATGTGTTTGCTAACTGTCAACACTTCCTTTATTACTGAAAAGTCATTAGAATCGTCAGTGAGTTGGATATCTTTTCCAGCCATCTTAACCATACGCGTAGTCCGTAAGTAACCCAATAGACCTGATTGCACTGAACATGTCTCAGAAAAATGGTAAAGGGGAAATGAAAATAGAAATAGCCAAATACGCGTTTTGAGGGCATAGAAGCGAAGACAGCACGTGTATGTTGAAAATAAATTCAACATTATAGTGGTTTAACGGTAAGCCTAATTAATTTCTATTTGTTTTTTTGCAATTTTAATTTCATTTCCATTAAGCTGATTTAACTATGACAACGCTATTGCAATTAGGTGCATATACAGTATATCGCTTAATTTCTGGGAAGGAATGATGGCTCAAGCTTATAGTAAACTTTTAAAAAAATGTTGAGTTATCGGAATTTCCTTCAAATTATTGCGATGTCAAGTTACCAAATGAATGCGCGCGAACATAAGACCTAAAAAGTTAAAATCATCTGTGAGTTAAAGTTTCACCTGTGACATAACGCCTGGCTCATCACAGTTCGGTCAGTTAGATTGAAAAAGTACCGAGACAACTTTGCTCGACTTTTCTTGGCCCTGTGAGCTTTCTTTTACGTTTAGTTAAAAGTTTTTGCACGTTTATGACTCTATAAATTACTTCTGATCATTATTTATTAATACGCGACGAATTAACTCGTATAGGGGCGTTTAGGTAAATAATCTTGACTGTAAAGATGTCGAGATGATATCAGCATTCACCCAAATTCAAATTGTATATATAAATAAAACTCTCACTTGCAGGTCATTGCGCAGAAGAGGAAAATGGCCCTGAAAAATTTTACTGAAGACGAAAACATAAAAACTGTCCAAGCACTGTACTGCTCGGCTGAATTTGTCAGAGGTGTAGAGAGCGAGCTTATATTCTTTTCAGCTCTAAATATTTTTCTTTCCATCACTGCATTTCTGGGGAACACTCTGATCCTAGCTGCTCTGCAGAAGGAAACTTCACTTCATCCGCCGTCCAAACTCCTGTATCGTAACCTAGCGATAACTGATCTCTGTGTTGGTATCATTGTGGAGCCAAGGAACACTCTGATCCTAGTTGCTCTATACAAGGAAACTTCACTTCATCCACCGTCCAAACTCCTGTATCGTAACCTAGCGATAACTGATCTCTGTGTTGGTATCATTGTGGAGCCCTTAGTTGTGACTTATGGGACTTCTGTTGTGAAAGAAAGATGGGATATTTGCTATTACGCAGTTCGGGCAGTAACTTCCGCAAGTTTTATTTTCTGTTCAGTGTCTTTATTAACAGTGACTTCAATAAGCGTGGACAGACTTCTCGCGTTGTTGCTGGGGCTCGGATACAGACAAGTTGTAACTTTTAGAAGAACATTTATAACTGTGACTAGTTTTTGGATTTTGTCAAACGTCGTTGTATCTACTGTGTTTTTGAATCTTCGTATAAGTTCATGGTATCTATGCATAGGTATAGCTTTGTGTCTGGTCACCACAATCTTCGCTTACGCAAAAGTTTTCGTTACTCTGCGTCATAACCAAATTCATGTTCAGAGCCATGCTGCTCAAGGACAACCGAGCCAAGCGATTCCACTAAATATAGCTCGATACAGAAAGGCAGTGTACAGTGCACTGTGGGTGCAGGGAACAATGGTTATTTGTTATCTGCCGTATGTTATAGTAGTAGCTTTGGTACTTCATAGAGGGATGTCTTCATCCCTTCACCGTGCTTGGCAATTTACGGTTACTTTAGTGTATTCGAACTCGTCATTAAACCCGTTGTTGTACTGCTGGAAGATCAGAGAAGTAAGGCAAGCTGTAAAAGTAACATTAAGGCAACTTTTCTGTTGATCGAGTTAGCCTTCTACGCTTTCCATCTGTTGATTCCTGCTCTTATATTTAGCAGTTAACTGTAATGTATTGTATTGTAAGCTCATTTTAAGAAACAAGGCATATCAGCTGTTTTTTCAAGGGAAACTTATATTATTTCTGCTGTTTTAAAGATGTTATGGTTGTTATTTAGTGGCATGAAGTGTAAATGGCTTTACGAATAAATAGGTAACAAAGAAACAAATAGGATGTCAATATGTTTAATATATTTAGCAATACAACAACTTAAATTTGTACGTTCATCGCGTTTTTTTGTCCATATTTCTTTGCCGTCGTTGCACGACTACGACGTGAAAGTTACTTATTTCACTTTTTTGGAGGACGTGAACACAAGAAAATGACTTCCTTTTTGTTTTCCTGAATTTCCATACAATACAGTGTTCCAGAAAAAATTACCAACATTTGACGAATTGAACGAGATGGAATAAGTGCGACCAATTGACTAAAGAGTAGATGGGCGGGTTTTATCAACAGATCGAGGCGAATATAAAATTTCTCATAATACTTCTGTACCGTTTTGAATATGTCCAGAGGCCGGGTTTTCATCGAATTTTCCAGCTTTAGATACCCGTAAAATTCGTCGGAGGACATTGTTCTCCGTTACACTGAGCAGGAAGAAGCCATGTCCAGTAGGTCCTAGCCTGTGTACAGCCGACCCCTGCCCTCTTTTAAAAAACAAATCTCTCTCTCCCTATTTTTTTAGGGGAGGTGCATCTGTACTCTGGCTATACTTTCTGGTAGGCCCACACAGAACTCTAGTGTGTTAAGGTTTGGATTTTTCATTATAGAGGACCCCCAGCAAAGTTTTAAGATATCACGTTTGCAGCTTGTAAGAAATAAGTTTGTTTCAGTCGTGGAACTGAGAAGAATTAACATTTGACGTGCCTTCCTATGGGGTACATTATTTTGTATATTAAAAATTCAAAACTCTTCGAATGTCAAAATGGCCT